AACCTAGGATTAAACCTCCTCTTGATGTTCAACATTTGGGACTGCAATGTAACGGGGAGGACGGGAGGACCCAGAAACGTGGATCCAGAGAAAATCATCCAACTGCAACTGTCCCCCCCCCCGGCCCTGAGCTGCGGAGGGCATCGGCGGCAGCTTGCTGAACCTGATCAGGCACAAGCGCAGCTCTGATCCGAATCAAGTTGAAGCGGACCTATGCCTTGGATGCTGCGAACGATGGGAAGAAATTCCAAGATTGAAAAGAACAAGCAGAAAAAGGAAGAAGCAAAAGAAGGACATTAGACAACCATGATACAACGCCTCGAGTTACTGCTCTCTTTGGCTCCGTCCACTGAGAGCGGCACCGGCTCCGGAACCAGGACTCCTGGCCGTACTCGAATGCGACCTGCCGGACAGGAACGCCGTCTCATGGGAAGAACATCCAACAAAAAAGCCAAAGCCGCCACAATGGATGTCAAATGGCCCAAAAAGGTGAAAGCAGGAGCAGCCTCTTGCGGAACAAGGGTCGCCCTTTTCGTCCGGTTTGCTAAATGGACATCAGCAGAAAGAAGGGAACAACAACAACTTCATCGGCTGAGTTGTTCCAACTGCTTTTCACCCAACAGGCGCAAACCATTTGCCGCTCACGGGGTGAAGGCTCTTCCCAGATCTGGATTCGGCTGGCCCAAACACAATGGCAGCAGGATGGCCCTAGGGCGGTGGACAAAGCTGGGAGAAACTTTCTCCTGCATTGACCCCACATCGGTTTCCACTGCTCCCAGCCACCAAACAGCCTACCGGAAAAGCACGGGGCCTGCAATTGCATTATTTTCCCTTGTGTCCCTGGAAAGGATATGCCCCTACATTGAAAGCGCCAGGAGCCTCCCATTAAAGGTTGATCGTCCCCGTGTCAAAGCCTTCTCAAAAGCTCCCAAATGAGCTCAGGACATGCTTTTCGCGATTTATTGATTCCCTGGACTAACATGGGAGGGAACTTGCTGAGCAGCATGCCCCATTGTCTAGTGCTATTTGCTTCGTCTTCCTTGTCTGCCCGCTTAACAACCAGGAAAGACCGTGAAATGTGACCCTTGCTTGCGCTCTTCCCAACAAACAATCGATCTGCCCAGTGGATCCCAGCTACAGTCGGTACCCAGCCACTTTCTTGCTTTTTGCTTGGCAGCTCTCTTGGCCTACCGTGCAAGCTGATGGAATCCCAAAAAATGGCTATCCTGCCATTCAAGTAGATGCAATTTCAGGGATGGCTATCATAAACCCTGTCCCGATGCGCGAGAAAGCTGGCTCTGGTCCGGCATGTGCTTGGTTTTCCGTAAGCGATCTTTGACTACGGCGGAGCTTTGCACACCTTGGAACCTTCCTTGCCCAGCGCTTTCCCATGAAGAAAACAAATGAAACACTTTGAAAGAACACCCTCCACCAAAAAAGCAAACAAACTCACGAAGATACAAACTCGTCGGGTCCAAGTACTTCTCCATGTACATTGACCCATTTCGAGCCCCCGTAAAAACGGAGGTAAAGGACCCTCAGGGAATACATAAATCTGGGGTGCTACTGGACAAGACTCTACCCCCAACCTTTCGGACCATTGCCACAGTTGGGCCTGGCGGCTGGCAGAAACCTTTGGCTTTGGGCCATATTTGGCAGACCTGAAACTGCAAGATCATCGAACACTTATGCGGCTGTGGGTCAACATGAGTCATTTGGTCGCCCCGTGGGCTCCCGAACTTACATAACAGTGGGCCAAATTTTGGTCGCCCCATGGGCTCCCGAGTAATTCGGAGCATGTTCAATCTGTTTAAATGGCTGTGGGTCAAAAAGATAATTAGTGTAACCCCAACATGGCGCAAGCCCTGGGTTTTTGGAAACATGGACCAACAAAAACTGCGGTCCATATCCTGGTGGATCATGTTGACCCATACCCATATCGAACAAAGTCGTTTCAGCCATGGCCAGTTCGCGCTGTGCCCTAGAGCTGAGAGAATGGTTGAAACGGCTAAGCTGGGGAGCTGGGGCGCAGGCTCGGCTTCAAACATGAAAGCAGGGGTCATCAGATCTATGGAGCAAGAATATACATATATATATATACATGCACATATATATATATACACATACATTATGTGTATATATATATATATGCATACATATATATATATATGGTACCCCCCCCCCCCCATGGACCCTGGTTTGGTGCGGTTGACCTGTATTTTCCAGTGTTTTATGCTTCTTTTTGCTTCTTGGATTTGTGTCAAAATTGGGGGGAGGGTCGTACATGTATATGATACGCATGCATGCATACAGATGTGATAAAAGCAATGACATCAGAACCTGCAATCTGAAAGAGTTTGAATGCATCCAAGAATACAAGAACAACTCAGACATTTTTAAAAATTATTAAAAATTCTGGGATTCAAGATTCAAGATTCAAGAATGTGAGAACATATTTTCTGGGAATCTTGAATCTTGAATCCCAGAATTTTTAAAAATTATTAAAAATTATTAAAAATTATGGATTCAAGATTCAAGAATCTGAGAAAATATTTTCTGGGAATCTTGAATCTTGAATCTTGAATCCCATAATTTTTAAAAAGTTTTAAAAATTCCAGGGTTGTCCCAATACTCTCGGTGTTCAATAAGATTCTCGGAAAAGTTTTCCGTGAAATAGTTCAATCCAGTGGTAACGGATGTTCGAGGTGATAGAACAACTTGAACATTTTAGGGGTTGACCAGGATGGATGATTCTCAGGAAAGTGGTGGTTTGTGGGCTCCTCAATATTGAACCCCCAATCCAGTGGTAAAGCACTTTCAAGTGTTAGAAGAACTTGAATGCTATTTGGGTTTGGCCAGGATTGACAATTCTCAGGAAAGTGTTCTGCGTAATCTTCAATATTGAATCTTCCATTCGATAGTAGCAAATTCTCAAGTGCTTAGCGATCCAGTGGACACACTTTCAGGTTATTGGTTAGACAAACTTTCAAGTGCTTTTGGTGAGCTTCATGTCAGCTATGCTCATGTTGACCCCTTTCCAGGAGGTAAACAAATTCAGGTGCAACGCTCAAAAACACTGCATTTTCCAGTATTTTATGAGGAGGCACAGGACCATTGGGGGTACTACATATGTGTGTATGTATGTGTATATATAGATATACATATGTATGTACGTTCACACACCGTCCCCCACCCTCTTCAACTACCTGTCCACATTTGCTCATCTACTACCTCCACCTTTTGACATAAAATTTACTTTCCTGCGCAAATAGAACTTCAAAAAAAACGGTTTAGCTAGAATCCCTGTTTCGAGATAGTTTTAGATTTTGAACCTCTCTTCCCTTGACATTTCCCTTTGGAACACCGTCTAACAAGTTCAATGTCGGACCTTTCTTATGCTACAAAAGGGCCAGAATGTAAACAACACAAATCCTATTTTTAATTTCCAAATGTTTAGCCATATTTAATATGAATTATATTTGAGATGTAGTCTCTATTCACTTGATATTATCAAAAGCAAATTGAGTTGTGTTCGTCTTAGATTATACTTACCACTTGGATTATATTTGGGAAAACACTTCCATCTAACTTCTTGTGTTATAGATTAGTTGGAGTTTAGCCGAAAATATATATTTACATTTTCATGTAGCTGCTATTTGGAAAGGATTTGCTTGTTTAAGCTGTAATTGAACATAAACACATTTTTGAAAACTATATCCATACTAAACTATATTCAAAATTCCAATTCTAGTTGAAGTAACATCTTATGTGCAAAGGGTATCATACTGGGACATTGTGGAGGACTCCGGGCTCCAAATTATCACGCTTTGGGGATCCACAATTGGAAATTTCGAGAATATAAATTTGGAAATTCTAGATTTGCCATCCCCAAAAGGCAGTAAAACCAGGGTCCATGGGGGGGGGGGTTGCATATATATATATATATATATCAAGGCGACGCACTATACATTGTCCTAGTTTGAGTCAGACTGAGACTTCTGCAACAAGTTAACCTCTTGGTGATTGAAACAGAAGCTGACGGCAAACCGGAAAAAAAAACAATACTGATGAAACAAAGTGGGGGTGATGAAAATTGACTTGGTTCCATCGCCTTGGGAAGAAATTCCCTTCCCGGCAAATGGATCTCATTGGCCAAGGCCGGCTTTGTCCCAGGTGGATTCTAAAGCCTAAACCCAAGTGAGACCATGGTAGGGGCGTTTACAGCCAACCAGACAAACAAAAAAAACAAAAACAATAATGATAACAAGTTCTCCTTAGAATCTTGCCACCGGCAACGCCGGCAAGGCCTTTGTCCCCAGCTTAGCGGAACACACCAGCACATGGCCGCGCCGACGCACCGGCTTCTTCGCGTCCCAGGCTAGAGACGAGTGAGTCGCATTCGAGCTGGATGAACCCAACCAAGGGTAGCAACTTGTTCGTGGCTTTTTTTCTCAGAGAAAGACACCTATAGGCCACTTTATTGACGAACATGAGCTTGGGCTCAAGTCCGTCTAAAGAAACGAAATCCTGAGGAGGATTCACCGACCATGCGGTGGTTGGTCCACTCTTTCTCTGTTTCTGCTCTTTCTCATTCTCCTCCTCCTTCTCTTTACTTGTGTTTCCCTCTCTCTCTCTCTTTCTGCCTCTCTTGTGGTTTCAGACCCTCCAAAAGCAGCAGGCCCAACATGGAAAAGACTAACCTAGAACAAATCGAGAGATGTGTTCGGGGGCTGGGTGTGGTTGGGGTGTTGGCCCCAGAAATAGGTCTGGTGATAGCAACTCGCAGTTCCACCATTGACCTTTGGGTTCAGCAAGCTGGTTCTGATGTCAATACTCCCGTGTCCTTCTGACACTTGGAAATAGGCCCTTACAGCAGCCAACGCTTCGGCTGAACTTTTGTGGGTCCGAGTCTTTCTCAATATGATGCTTCAAAAGACCGATGAAAAAAGGAAAGGGGCGCCAGCCCAATCACATCAATGGCCCTCTGGATATGTTTCTAGGCTTCAACGAAAAAAGGCGAGACCCAAGGCACACTGAACGCATTCCCCGGGTTTCCGACTCACTCAGTGGCTCCAAACCTTGGAAATGCGCAGTGGGGAGATCAGGCGGGATGAATGGACTTGTCGGTGGTCTTGACGGATTTCCCTCAAACAGGACTTCCCGTATGAGCATGGTTCCTTTGTTCGGGAGCGATTCTCCTTTTGGAGTTCGTTTTAAGACCACAAAAAGGGGGTACCAACTCCAACAGAGACAAACGTCCATTTTTCCCAAAGGCATCATCTGGCAACAAGGAACCTCAGAAAGAATTGCTTTCTCGGCTCCCCAATTGAAGAACCTTCATGAGCTCGCGGTACGGTTCTTTGAGCTCGCTATAAACCCACCCTGCAATGAAGGGGCTGTATTAAGCCTTGCGCAGTCAGGGAAAATTCTCGGGGGCTTCTGCGGGCGGGCTTATCCTGGGGCTTCACGTTGACCACATATAAAATCAACCCCCAGTGTACTTAAAGGGGGGTGTCCCTGGGTTTAGTGGGGAATCAGACCACTTTGGCCCCACCCCCCCAATAAATACATCGGGGTTGATTAAAATGGGGTCAACAATAGTCCTTCCCTCTGTTTACGCAAGGAGGGGTCCCTTTTTTTCGCGGCTTCCCCCTTTTGGGATGCGGGGTCAACACAAATGGAATCCCCCAGCGCATGAGTCCAGAACCGCGTGGACGCCCACCACGATGCTGACCGAGCCCACTGCAATCTGGGCCATGGACGGGGGCAAGTGACTTGAGACTGGAGCGAGCCAAAGACAAATTTATATATATATATAAACAAACAAATGTAATATATATATATATATACACAAACACACACGTGTGTACACAAACATCTACATGTATGATCTACATATGCATTTGCGTATCTTCAATATGTATGTGAATCTGTATGTGTATAGATATATATATATATACACATACACATAATGAAACTTGGGATTGCCCGTGCCCAGCCCGGAGCCACTCCGAAGCAATCCGGATGGGAGACCCCATCACGGTACACAGAAATGGTTGTGCTCCGATTCTGTTTCCTAAGATATCCAACCCTGAGGCTCCCTTATTGCCCAAGGATGTACCTTTCCGGGGATCAAATGGGTCAAGCCACAGCTTTCGGCGGGGAACAAAGTGAACAAAGGCGAGCCCTTGTGTAGTTGGTCAGGCCGCTCCAAGCCAACCGCTTTAGAACCGCTTTTTGGACCATCCGACATGGGTGTAAACCGCGGTGTAGGAACTATGTGTACGCATTTGTATATATATATATGTATAGAGAGAGAGAGTTTATTGCACATACACATACCGGTGTCAAATGACAAACCTGTGCGCCAAAACCAGCTATCATGTCGTAAACAAGTGAGACAGTTTATAGATTTGTCTGACACTTGGACATGTCCTCTAATCCAAAACACTTTCTTGAGATTCCATGACTTATATGTAACAAACCGCAACAGTTGTTCCATCAATGAATGTGCATGTAACATGAGGCAACAACACAATGCTGTTGGGATGCCGTGGCTTGACGTGCCCCTGACAAAGCAACTGATATTGATATTGATATGAAGCTCAGTCACTCAGCCTACCCCCAGCTGCCCTGACACTCAGCAGTGCAGAGTGACTCTTTCAAGAAGAACATGCAGCTATCTTGTTGGAAAGAGGTCCGCGCATGACACTATGCTTCCATGAGCAAAATATTCTATGCCTCCCCCCTCCCCCCCTTACAATAGAAGCCTTTCTTCAAAGGTGCGGTCGCAAATCCGCCGTGTAAGGTCCCCAGGCTACGACGCATCCATCTTGTCCACCCGCACATCCCCTGGAACGGAAGCAGCCCCGAACTTGCAGGCGAGACGCCAATGAAGTCGCATAGACCTTGGAGGCAAGGGCGTTTGACATAGGCGTGTGTGTTAAACAGCCGGCTCTCATGTTAAATATGTTTCGATCGGTCTTCCGCACAAAGAGCCCACCCACCCTGGGGCGGAAACCGTTCTGCAAATCTGAAGCTTCAAAAGTTGGGTCATGGACACTCCGGGGCCAATTCGCATCTTGATTCGGTGGCCGCTTCTCAGCTGTTGTGTCCGACTATATGGCACATCAAAAACCGAACCAAAAACAGGGAAATCCTTCTCCTAAAGAGGTTGAGGGGTGTTTAAACAAGAACCCTCAAGGAAAACCCCTCCCCCCAAGGGGAACCCCGCTGTAGATTATTTCGTGAGGCTATCTCTGCTTTTTGGTTTGCCACGAAGAGTCCCAGTGGATACATATTAATATATATATATATATATGCACATATTGTACACCAGAAAGGCAACCAAGGGACCCTTGAAAAACCAACAGCCGCCAACAGGAAAGCATCTGGTTACCTACTACAAGGGTAACTGGGATCCACTGGCATTGTACTTCCAAAAGTCTAAAGTCCAGAAACTCAGAAAGACAGATGGGGGTCCGAGCTTATGGGGGGCTGAGCTCCCACTCTTCTTAAACATAACCCCACGTAAAGGAAACTCACTTGAAACGGGGAACTCGATGTTGAAAACTGCGCTTCCAAGGGGCATGCCAAACTCAAGAACTGATGATAGATCAAACATATGAGCTACAGCCCAAACCCGCTTGGACTTATTGACCTCATCTCAACCACTTATATATCATGGCCCTATCTCGTTTCGGGAGTGGTCCACCCATACAGGCAGTGGCTCTTATGAAGAACATTCATACACATGATGTAAGATCCTCAAATATACTGGGTGGGTTTATGCAAGAGGTTAGGGAATCAGTCAGTTTCTAATTGCTCAAAGGTCAAAGGGTTGAAGGTCAGGCAGCCTCCGCATTCCTTCCAGGAATCCTTTCAGAGGGCAGTTCTTTGAAAACGATGGTAAGCAATGGAAAAAGACTCAACCGCATGTCAAACCGAACACGGCTGCGTTCAAAAGCAAAACCACCACTCACCTCCTAAGTGGACTGGCCAAGAAAAGGTCCAAACTTCTTGTATGCCACCAAATTGTTCCCAAGAATAATACATCCCAGGGACATCAGTGGACTACCCTCAACGAAGATCAGATGCTTCATGGATGGACCGCACCTTTGGGTTGGAACCATCCCTGAACCCTTACCAAGCTTGCCCAGTGGATCCAATTTCCCCTGACCAGAAAACAACCATCATGTGCTTTCCTGGAACAATTGTCCATGTCTTTTGGGGGACCCCCAAAATGGGCTTCGGTTTCTTTTGTGTTCCCTTTAAAACCAACCAACAGAGACAAAGACACAGCCAAGTCTCCGTTTGGTAGGAAGAAAACAACCCATGACAACCATGGCCATCCGATTCGCCTCGAGCGCGAAGCTCCGCGACAGCCGGCCGGCTGTCTTGCCCATCAGCGGCGCGCTGAGACGTCCTGCGCGCAAGACGCCTCCCCAAACTCAGCTTTTCCGAATCCCACAGAAGATGGTTGATGGTTTGTGCAGACTTAGTGAAGATGAACATGACACATAATTTCAAAAGAGATGACAGCAAAGAAGCCTTTTGCCCTCTTTTGTGCATCTCTTACTTTATGAGCCCAATCGACAGGTTTCGCGGTCGGAACAACATGGGGTTCCCCCTCTCTGCTTGTTCAAATCGAACGAAATTGTGGGTTTGCCTCTAACTGCGCAACCAAAAAAAGGGCGGAGTCTCTGCTTCTTCTCTTTTTAACAACGCTTCGCCCACGCCAGGTGTCCTTTGGAAGCATCACTGGGCAGCGGCAACTAGTTGAAACTAGAATAAATCAAAGTGGCCAGTTGTGACAAATGGTTTCTGAAATTCAAACATGGCTAAATTGACACGATGGGGCCTGCTTTCGTTCAACTGGCCCTATCGCATTGGGCACTGCGCGTGGTGGGAACTTCGCCTCTGCCGAGCGACGACGGTGTCGCGCCTTTTCTGGACAACTTCAGGTACACGCAAGATGGGCCTCGGCACGCCCCTTGAGTTGCGGGTCGAACCAGCTCTTTGGATCCAGACAAGTGCAAAACTCGCCCGCTGAAGTGAGAAAGACACATGATGTCGCTAATTTTTGAACAGAAACCTGCCAACAACAAGTTGGAATTTTGCTAACTCAACAGGTAAAGAGCAAAGAGATCAATGAAAGACTTGTTGCTAGTGAGTGCAGGTTTTGTGGGTGACGAGGTCGTACGCACCCCCGATACACCCCTCACATTTGCGGGCTCATTGGATCCTACTGAAAGACCTTCCAATGAGGTTAATGTGCCAAAGCTCGTGGCATGACAACACCACAAAGCCAGTGGCGTGCTCCGCTCTGAGTGAACAAACAAAGTGCTATATGTTGCAGGTTTGAGGGTTAGTTCAATATAGTTCAATCCTGGCGGATTCATGAAGGTTCTTCTTAGGTGCTGGGGCGTCTGAAACCTCTGAATACTCGATTAGGGAGTAATTTCAAAGTTTGAGCATCACGGGAACTCTAATTGGAGGTCAATAGAGGTTTCTGGACCTCAAACAAAAACCGGGGCCCCACATTCTTAGCTTGCTATAATTAAAACTGGAAGCTCTGGACACTTGGTGTAAAGCGAGCGGCATATCCAGCACAGGCTGGAGCCAATGACCGCCCCCAGAGTTCCAGTCACTTTGGACACGTCCTGTGATTGGACCGAACGGGACATGAAGACCCTGTTTGGAGGGCTGAGGCAATGGGAAACCAATCAGGGTGTATCCTTTGTCGGAAATATCCTTGTTGGGGTTGAGCTAGACAATCATATGGAAATCGTCTATGGCTTGGTGATACCTTTTTTGAGGTTTGAAGAGAGAAGCCAAAAGGGAAACCATGTTGGGGGGTCGGGCACCCAGTCACATCAAAAGGTGGCCGGGGTTAACTCCATGGAAGCGATGAGCAGTCAACATCATTTCCCTAGCAGGAAAATCACCCTGCTAAAAGAAAAAGAAAGGAACACAAAACATATATATTTTGTTAATCATGGAGAGTTCTTGTTTTTCCCCTTCACACGTACCTCCTTGTCAGGTGACATCATACTCTTAGGGTATTTGGAGCACGGGGGGACTCATTGCAGGCCTGGCCAGAAAATGAGCAACACAGTTCACTGCAAGGCAACCAGGTTCTTAGCTCAACGAGTGGGGGTTGGGTTTTGTGGCTCCAAGGAGCGTTGTGAGTGAAGGGAACCCAATGCTTGTTGCTGAGTTGGGATGGGCTGTTGAAAAGGGAGCCAAATGGGTAGCGCCCAAAACCAATGACAATATCTATCCGCATTGTCATCAAAGGTTTATACAGGCATTGGCTACTGCAAACCTCTCAGCCAGTAGAACCACCTAAAGGAATGGCCAATCTAAAATCCTAAGTGGATTGGCCAGAACCAGACCAAACATGTTTACCCCTCAATTCAAATAATCTTTGACCCCCAAATAATGCCAAATGCTGACTGGTCTTCTCAAAATCATCCCGGAACTCCCTTCCTGAGTGGATTGGCCCAACAAAAAGTCCGAACTTCTTTCTTTGACACTCGAATGGTCCAAAGCCCAGTGCCTAAAGCCCAGGACCTCAAGTGAGGGAACTCAGAGGGCCATGGGTCAAAATCTAAATCGTACCCCCAGGGAACATCCAAAATCCCACTAAAATAGGTTCTAGAATGGGTGGTGAATGACACCTACCGACCAAAATGGGATCCCAAAACGGTCTTGACAACCACAGCCAGAGAACCAGACCCGTTGAAACCCGTTCAAACCCGCGGAACCGGCCCCGCAAAGCGCGGAACCGGCCGCGGTCCTCGATGCAACATGCCACCGTGGAAATCGCCAGGACCATCGAGCTAGTGATGGCCACCTGGCGCTGCTCGCCAGCGGCAAGCTTTTTGCGTTTGGTCCAGAGAGAACCCTCCCCCAACAAAGGGGTGAGAAAGGGCACTGGCCCCTCCAGTAGAGAGGTTAGAATAAAGGCGACCAACCTCTTTTTAGGCCTATTTTTCCCGGACCTTCGTTAGTTACACAAATTTGTGCCCCTTGGGTGATTCGTAGCAGAAATTTGTGTGACGCTGGAAGGTCCAGGTTTAAATTTTACTGGGTCGTCCAGTAGAGAGATTAGAATAAGGTACCAACGTTTTTCTGGACGTCTATTTTAGTAGGGGAACCCTCCCCCAAAAAGGGGTGAGAAAGGGCTCTACTGGGGGGGACCTAGTTTACTATGATTCCAAAATCTGAATTGGGGAATCCCAAGTAAGGGACTTTGTCATGGTGAGCTCGTTACACCCCCGAATCGGTGAGCTCGCTCGCCATTAAATCGGCAGAACCTGTGAGGATCCACAAGGATCTCCTCACTCAAAACAGGGTCGAAAGGAAGCTCCCTGACGCTCAGGAACTGGTACAGGTGACAAATGGTTTCCTCTAGAAGTCCCAGTGACTCACAGCTTCAGGGCCGAAACAAGTCAGCAAATGTTGTGTTTGTCACTACGGACCAAGCCCAACACGAACAACTCCTGAGGTCAGGCGTGGGCGTTGGACCCATATGCCCTGAATGGAGGTCCGAAAATTAGAAAAGCAACACCAATTCTTGGATTCATTCAAGTGACATCCTCAACAGTACCCTCTAAAGGTGGCTTAAGGAGAAACCGCCCTGAAAGTAATGTTGAGAAGCCCTGAGAACGCTCACTTTAAGGCATTCAGCTTTTGCGGGGTTGAACCCTTCTTAGAGTTGTGGAAAATTTCCCTTTCACAATGAGTGCTTTGTACCTGCTGGCTGAAAAGTCAGGAAGTCCGCGAATCTGAGCCGCGCATGAGACGAGCGGCGTGCGCCAGCGTCGGGCTCTGCCGAAGGGCCTGAGCGCAAGATGTGCACCCTGCAATGCACCCAGAAGGCACAAGGGGCGGTTCGGGTTGCGGGCTGGGGGTGGACAAATTCTGCAGGCATGTATTTATCCACACCCAGGCTTCCGATGACCCAGCAAATAAGAACGAACAGTGATCAATCTGCCTGGAAACCAGCGAACTGCTGCGAGCCGTGAATCGCTCCGAAGCTACTTTGAACTGTGCTTTGATGCCATTTTGACCTAATTACCTCAGAAATACAGGCGCCCTATGTTGTCGAGTGGGGCTCCAAACGGGAGGTTGAAGTAAACAAAAGCATGGAACACAAAGTCTAAGGCTCCAAGTACCTAAGCATGTGCTTAAGACGTCAGCATTGGGCTTCTGTTTAACATCCAAACAACTCAAACGCCCAAAGTTTATGTGTATATACAAAATATATAGAGAGAGAGAGAGAGAGATATAAAAGCCCGATACAGGTCACAAAGCACATCCTTGGAAAGTACTTGAACCCTGCAACGCCGGCTTGAGCTTCAAGCGGCCCCCAAATTCACGTGCACTTGGCCCCATTGTGGTTTAGGCACCCGGACCTAAATCGCATAAAGGGAATCTCGGTTGCTTTCTGCTCTCCTGCTTAAAAAATATTTTAGTGGTTGACTGGAAAACCCATTAGTTGGCAAAAAGTTGAAGTCCTAACATCCAAGCAAAATGCACCAGCCATCTACTTGCACAGGCGAATTTCCCCTGAAGTTGCAATTGACTGGTGGTGCGCTTTGAAACTGCCACTTTTGGAACCCTCCAAAAGGGAAACTGAGGAACTTCCTTTCCACCCTGCTGTATCTCCGTCCCGCCTTCTGAAGAGCAGGTTGAGATTCGATGAAGGAGTCTCGCGCTGCAGTGAAGACCAGCGGATACGTAAAAATGATGGCCTCAGCTCACACTTTAGCCATGTGGATGTTTCTCAAAATAAGGGCCCCCTAAAATAGTGGGATTCCGCATGCAAAATGGAGGTCACCACGTTGCCCAACACTCATTTACAATTGGTTCTACTAACATGGTTATTAAGGTGTAGAGAGGCTTCACGATAGGCCTACTTAAGCCAGGTTGTGGACTCACCTACCGAAAAAATAGCCTATTTAGGCGCTGCTAGCATGAACCTTGTCATACCAAAATATGTGATTATCATGATTGCTTTCCCACTTTAAGGGGGAGGGGCCCTTGGTGTCACAAACAGTGGCAACCGGAAACATACACACCCTGTCATTTCATTTCTCCGAATCGACGAACGGGTTTCCCCCCTTTTCAGCAGGACAATGGATCAGGCTATATATTGGTTGTTGGTTCCAGCCGCTGAACAAAGACTGCAAAGAAAAGTTGAACAGTTGAGAGTTTGCTTTTTGGACAAGTCAGGCATAGGATGTTATAATAAATAGGTGTGAACACACCGAACTGATGGGTTGCTCCAAGGAAGCTTGTCACATGTGCCCTTTGATCTTTGAGAGTAAATTTTGATCGGGGACTCTTTGGTGAGTGGGGCTTCATAAACAAGCACTTTTGAGGTGGTATCCCCTAGTCATGCCCCCACCAGATGTCCTATTTTTCACCTCTTTTGAGTCATGTCCCCACCAGGTGAACGTTTGTATTTCTGGGTCCTATGGGCCGAGTGCAACCATGTTTGTTGGCCCATCCACTCAATCGCCGAGGTGCGAAGGCCATACCGAACCAAGCCATCCTGAGCGGCTCCCAAAAAACTCCGCGCGTTGCGCGGCCTAGGGCCTCAAACCCAGGTTTGGTCTGAGGCCTAGATGTCCCCCCTGTCTCACACCCTAGGCAGCTGCTCTTTGAATGGAAATCAAAACAGCTGAACAGCAAAATTGAAATAGTTTCAGCCGGAAAAGACGAGGACCTTTTGTTTGGTACGAAAATTCCACGGTGGGCGCAGGAGTTCCACCAGACTCTGCCAAACGACAGGGGCACCCGGTACCTGGCAGGTCAACTGTTGTGCAAACATCGGGGGCTTGAGCGAGAGGGGGTGTGTCAACAGGAAGTTGCAAAGTCAGATTCATGTCTGGAAAATCCAAGGACTCCAAAACGTGCTGCCAAGCGTTCCCGAAGGCCCTGAGTTGGGTCCAACGGGCTGAGGGCTGATTCAGCTCGTTGGCTTGTAAGATACAAATGGCCATGCACTTCCTGTCGGTTTACTCCTCTATTACTCAAAGGTCCCTTTTGAGGTCCAGAACCCTCCAATGGAAAACCCAACCCCCCCAATGGAGGGTCCGATGGTTAGGGTCATGCGCCAAGGCTCATGATCGCCACGCTGTCGGGGTCATAGTTCCGCAAGACGTTACCTGCGAGTCGATCCTGTGTGTTGTGTAATACACCCTGGGACTAAGGGCCTCACTGGGAATTGCCCCTCATGTCTTGTGATTTCCAATGACAACCGTGTTCTTCCTGACAACAAAAGTGACATGGAGGAATGTAGATTGCAGGACCAACAGAAGCGACTGCCTTTGCAAAGCAGGGCTCCGACAAAGGAAGGCAAGTCACTGCAGGATGTGATGCATGGGACTATTCACCGGTCATAACATGTCTTGTCCAAAGCAGCAAAACTTCAGCTGTAAGTTGCTTTGTCTCAGAATCAGCTCCCAACATGGCTGGTGTTCTTTACCTTGGAAGCAACCCCCAACAGTGGTACCCTCGAAACAATCTTGACAGATCCAAATCACCAGAATTCCGGAGGCGTGCGCATTGGACCACCTTCCAGACAGCCGGTGGCCGTGTCTTTCACAACGAAGTCAAAAGCACTCCAGGGGTTCCCGGAATTTGCCTTCCTCTAACCCCCCCACAAATTCAAGAAGAAAAAAAAACAAACGGAAGCAGCACGGTGGCACCCCGGGCCTAGCAAGGCATCCCCGAAGAGGCCGAGGCCGGCCAATGAGAAGACCGCGTAGACCTCAAAAAAAGGCTCACGCCACACACGCAAACCCCAAAAAACAAAACACACAGACCCCAAAACACTTGATTTGCTCCATTTTGGGAGAAGATCCTACAAACATGCGCTTCTGGAGGAACCCAAAAACACAAACCCCAAAAATCAAATCACCGATTTGCTTTGTTCGGGCCCTTGGCCTCTTTTGATTCTTGCTTGCACGGGGCTCCGCCCCTCGGGCCGCTTCCGAAGTGACCATATGTGATTTTTCTGGGGGCTAGAGACAACCCCCTTGGCCCGTTTGGAGCTCGTCCGGCGCCCACTCGCGTCTCGCCGGCCGGCGAAAGTGATGGGAGCAGAAATAGAGAAGCCAAAGCCAAGGCCCACCTCAAAAACCCGAGTAGCAAAGCGAGCCCCCCTGCGTTCAAACTGATTCTTTCCGGAAATTCCCAAGTAAGCCCTAAAGGTATCTTCCCCCAAGCCCCCACCCCCCATCTTCAGTCCACTTAGCAAGTCGGGTCTTGTTTCCACGTCAGCCAAACGCGCTTCTACCGAACTTCCATCGAACTTCTGCCAGCAACCATTCCTACAGGCCTCTTTTGCCACCTGTTTTGGCACTTAAACCTCCAAGAGCCGCCTCCTCAGACCCCCCCAGAGCTTTTTACCCCCCAGAAGCCATCCTCAGGAGGTACTTGGACCCTCTTGGATCAACCCTTTCCCCGGCCCCCGGAACCCGATGGCCGAGGCCGAGCAGCTGCGAAGGCGGTGCCGAAGCTGGCCAGCACCGTGCGCCCATGCGCTGGCAGATCCCCATGCAGCCTGGGGCCCGGCCGGTGGAGGGCTGGGGCTATTTCAGTAAGACGTCCAAGGGCCGGGCGTCTAATACTGGGTCCTTTTGAGTAAGACATCCCCGAAAAAAATAATGAAGCCGTGCTTTTGAAGAGAACCAATGCCCCCCGCGAAGAAGGATTGAACATCCCTCAACATGTGCATTTTGAGGAGAGTCCCAGTTGCCAGCAAAAGCGGTCCGAAGCTGTCTTAAAATAGACCCACCCAAACCCAAAGGTCTCAGACGCGGCGGCAACTAGAAGCAATGGGTGAGTGCAGGGTTCTTTCGCTGCTTTTGGCGTCAAACAAGGTCTGGACAAAAAAGCTTTGGCTTTCCTTCAAAACAAACAGAAAAGGGAAAGGTCTTCTCCGATTGAATCATTCATGTTCTCGACTTTGGGAGAGCTTCCACTTACCAATCGAGGTCTAGAATGCCTGTCTGGATCGCTTTTGATAATGAGGGCTTCCAGTGACCACGAATGGAACACCTGAAGGGGTGGTTTTATGCGGAATCAGCCCCCAGAACTACAGTGGGTAACCCGAAAACACCACTAGTGTTGGGTACATCTTCAGCTTTCGGGGGCTTCAGGCTCAAACATCCTCTCCCTGCGTCCGTGGTGCTGCTTCAAAATCCGTGGGGCGTTGTAGTGCGCCTGCGGTGGCCATCTGGTTTTGGTTTTTGTTTGCTGCTCGGTCACCTGGAAACCTACAGGTTCTCGGTTTAGCTTGTGACCCCTTCTCCCCAAGGGATTTGTGCGATACTGGGACACCCCATGATCCAAAACTAGTCCGAAAGAGCAAGTTAATTTAACTCAAGAGGACCCAACATGAGGCAATCCGCTGGGTGAAATTTCAGGGTAGAATGCCAAACAACCATAGGATTTTCCCCATGAAAATTAGCAAATAGTGGAGGTGCCTCAAAATGTTTCTTTACCTCCCACAGCCCCCAACCCACCCCAAAAAAACAATGGCGAATTTGCATTTGGTTTCCCACAACACTTGCCACAACAAGGGTCCACCAAACCCAGGCTTTGCGAGCGAGCGGGGCTTTGGCCTGGAAGGCGCCAGTGCAAATGGCGATGGTCCGAAAAATGCCCAGATTGAGTCTCGCCACGTGGGCCTCTGCGTGCGTGCGACTCGCGTTCCCGATTCTAAGCTTGGCCCTAAAATTCAAGTGGCCTTTCAAAAGAATAGAGGGTCTCAAAGAGACTTGTTTTCCCCTTTCGGTCCCAGTACTGAGGGCGGGCGTCCAACTGCGCATCTTTGGCTCTGTGCATTTCTGACCCCATGATGGCCGTATCATGCCCGGACATGCGCCGAGGGGACTTTGGACACATCACGAAATCGGACAAAATCGCTCACACCAACAAAAGGACATTCACGGCAAACACAAATCGGTCACGGCACTTTCACGCTAGATTCATGATAGCTTCACGGCGCCCCAGCTTTCCATATGATTTTCCTAGACTACAGCAGTGAAGCTGTTCCAGTGTAGAAAGTTTGCTTGTATTGCAATTCGCACCATGGGCCCCCAATGTCAGGAGCCTCAACTTGCCGAAGAGAAACGTTCACGGCAAAGAAAGGTCGTTCAATCCAAACAAAGGTCAACTGAAACCATTTGCTACCGTGAAATCAGTATCAAACATAAAATGGCCGAACTGTGACAAAATGTTCAGGCATTCAAATTCTTCTCGAAGCACAAAATCCGATTCGTCACTCGAAGCCCAGCCTTTGAAGTTCCACAGGAAACACATTAAAGCAACAGTTGTGTGGTGCAGAACGGCAAACCAGGCGCATCTCCAAGCAACAAGTCGCTACATTTGCGCAAGGTTGCGTCCAGGTTGCGCCAAGTTACGCCCCAGCGCAGCTCATGCTTTAATAATATGCACTACGACATGACAAGCGGCCACTCACAGTACATCCAGTTTCAACATCGACTTGTGCACGCAGAAAACACCAAAATATAAGCAAGCGCTTGTTCTGCCAACAAATGCCCGCGCTCACATTGGCCTGGCCACCCACAAAATCCACCGGTTTGCCTAACCTCTTCGCCAGGACGAAGCTGCCTCGAGGTTGGCGGACGCAACGTCCCAGGACTCGAGGCAGTCTAGAACTATGAACCTCGGAAACAGGCCCCAGGAATCTTCCCATGCAAATGCGGGTTGGGATTGGGGGAGGTGCCTCGCCCTTCCAGGATTGTGGCCATTTCTGGAACTACCCAAAAGGTTGTAAGGTCGGCTTTGGTCAAGTGAGTGCCACAAACCAGCCTGTTTTTCAGCTCTTCCCTCGCCTATTCTCTCTTTCGCTGTTGGCTCCAGGCAGGGGATTTTGGGGCCCAGTTTGGACGAAACGCGATGCCACAGTCGGCCCGAAGGCCCCTCCAAATGGTGCGTTAAAGATCCAAATCACTCTTGCGGCCTGGTATGGGGAACTCTGGGTGCTCCGAATGGCTGTGGGTCAATAGCGGAGCCCCAAAATGGCTCGCCTCACATGGAAGGGACCCAACTCTGCGGTTCATATTTCTGGTGACTAATTTTGACCCACACCCATACCAAGAGGGTCCAAGTACCTCCTGAGGATGGCTTCTGGGGGGTAAAAAGGGGTTGAAGCACCTCCTTAGAAGGCACTTGGACCCACTGGGATAAGACTCTGCCAGGCTCTGCTTCAAACCCCGACGCCCAGTTCGCCAAGCTGCAGAATCCTCGGATCGGGAGCTCAGGCTGGCCACGGGGGGTGGTTTTTGGGGTCCCAAAAGTATGGCCGTATCTCAGGTCTATGTCGCACTGTATAAGGGGAATACCTGATCCCTCAAAAAACTCCCTTAGAAATGGGTGATGGCCCAGGTATATGCTCTCGCATGAAATCGCCAGGCCTGGGCAACTTTGCGAGTCCCTGGTTTTTGGTGCGAAATTTAGTCCCGCGTCCTCCCGAATGGACCACCAATCATTTTGACCAAACCTCATTTGGACCGGACCTTCCGGATCGCTTTCCGTTGAAGGCTCGTGGAGTGAGCTATTGGTTCTTCCAGCAATAAAAGCAACAACCCCTTTCATGTCATATCAACCCAAGCATCTACTGGCCATCAAAAAAAAGGCTCCTTTTTCGCCAGTTGACCCTAAAGGGAAGTCCTCCAACAGAAAATCAAACAAAGACACCTGGAAGCACCCCATCCCCTGATCGAACACAGAAACCTGGCCCCGCCTGGACCCCATCCCCTCCCCCCCCCCCGGAAGTGTGTCAAACTCGATGAGTTTTTTCGGCGCCCTTGGGACAGAAGTTCTTGAGCCGCACATTCCCACGCAGGACTGTAGGACTCCCCGCGGAGGGGTGCACCCAGCGAAGGCCAAATAAGTCAGCGCCATGTTGAATCGAGAGGATATGATTCCGTGGCAGTGCCCCCTCGTCTCAAGCATCTCCATTTGCTCAAGGTGCCCAAAGGTTACCCGTCAGAATCGCCCATGTGAAATTAACTGGGCAAACAGCACACCCACGTCTTCGTCTTGGTTTCCCTTAGCCACCACACACCAGGGTTGCTCCAAATAGAAGAAGGGCAGAAAACGGTCCCCTGGTGAAAGGGACTAGCAGTTGGGAACTGTTGACTGTGCTTCTTTTGGGGTGTGGTCCTTCAGGAGCGGGGAGCAACCAATGACAAGCGGCACAAAGCCAATAATCGCCAGGCCCATCATCGAAGTATAGCGCAGTGCAGAGAGGTCCCGTGCATGCGACAGCGGAAGCATGAAGCAACCTGAGCCCAGAGGCCCGTGCACTTCCATTGGTGTTGCAAGGGCCTGAAGTGGCGTGAGTCAACTCATTTCAAGAATGCATCTGAGTCGAAGGCAACGAGTGTGAAAAGTCGAGTGGAGCCAAAATCAACAGCAGATGAAGGTCAGGGAGAATCCCAAGAATGGCTGGGGATATCCGCCCTTGTGACATTTGTATCATTCTGGGGTAGGCCCATACTTACCAGGTTCTGATGCGTAAATCCAAAGCAGTAGGGCCCTTTTCAGCCCAGCGTTGCCATTGTCAAATAGAAAAAACCAGTTCCTGGAAAGGCGCCCCATGGGGAAACTGAAAACTTTCAGACGTGGTTGAGTCCTGTTCCATGGGTTTTCGGTGGGTCAGCAGTCCAAACTCGCCTTTGCCACTGGCTTCTGCTACCTTTTCTCGAAAGCAGGATCCCCCCCCCCTGCAGTTTGTTTGTTGCACGGCGGGTGCTGAGCTTGCACCGCTAGGCCGGCGCGGTGGGCGGGTACAAAATCCATTTCGCACCGGTGCATGAAGCCAGATTATACCGCCAGAACTCACCTGCCAACCGGTGCGAGGCAAACTTTGTCCGTCAGTACAGTATGAGCCATTGAGATTGGGGGCCCTTTTGCCATAATAGACAATAGACCTCCGCATGCCGTTCTATCCTTTCAGTCCACATGCGCTTCTGGCCCAAGCCATTTGGCTGGAGAGGGGAGCCTGGCTGGAGATTGTGGCTTTCCTCGCACGCACAAAGCACAAAGCACAAAACTTCCAAGGAATCATAATGGAGAACTCACTTCCTGAGAACCCAGAAAGTCACATGTTCTTTGCGGCCTTCGGCGGCCTGCGGCCTTCGAAGGCCTTGGTGACCCCCAAAAAACAAGTTCCAACCAGATTCGTCGTGTTTCAAAAGCTCAAAACTAAACCTTTTAAACAAGGAACCGGGTGAAACCAAAAAGCAAAGCGAATGCTACAGCTACCAGGGGCCGATTCGCATCCAGATGCGTTCAAATGTTGCTCAACTGCAGCCAAGCAGCAAGTGTTGCACAAAATCAGTACGGTGCGGCTGGGAGACATGCCCATCCTTGGCGAGATTTTACGCACAAAAAGAAGCTACCTGAAAAAAGTGTCAAACGTGGTCCTGGAACCATTGCTGGTCAAGTTGGCATGTTGTTGCTTGTGAGCTTGGACTTGGCATGCAATAAAGTTGAGCAACAGCCTCCGAGCCACTTCATAGCAAGATGTCATCTGTTGATGAGAGGCCAAATCACAGCAGTAAGAGGACTCAAAACTCAAGCACCACACACCAACAAAAAACAATACGCAACACATATGGTCCCTTCCACCAACATGGGCACAGGTTCCTGTAGCAAAAGTGAGCCAAAACAGGGTTTGTGGACTTCCGTCAACAATGCTCTCACTCCCATCCTGCAAGAGCCTCTTGCGAGTGTGCGATGGTCGACTTTCACGCCTGACCGAAATAGTCCGTTGTCTTTTGCTGCATATCTCCAAGACGGCACACCCCTGAAACAATGCCAACCCAGGATTGAGACATCTCTGGTTGCTTAATAGGTGGGGTGTCCCATTTTTGGGGGCACCCTTCACTTTTACAGAAATGCACCCCCTATTCATAGGGTGTCCCCTTTGCAAACAAATCGATGGCACTGGTAAATTATTCAAATTTAACATCTCCTTAAAGGAAACCACCAATTGGATGGTTTACAATTCTCATTCCCTGCCAATCGAACCCGCAAGTTCAAGCTGACCCACAAGACACCTATGCCCCTCACCCGGATTTTTCCTCCACTCTGCCAAGTCGAGGATCCCTTCCATGGCCTTGTGTAGAAAGTCCGCCACCAGGATGGTGTACGCTACGCCTGGGTCCCACAAAAAGTCGGGCAGTGACATTCTAAGGGCAAAAAGGTTGGATCTTCCCTCAAAAAGGCTGGCCGAGGCAGTTAGCCCAAGGGGGAAAAGCTGGATCTTCCCTCAACAAACAGCTAAGCCTTTCCTCTCATTGAGTGTTGCAGGGTAGCTTCCAAACATGGTCCTCAAGAATGGACTGCGAGCCTGCCTCCGCTCTTCTTGCAGGCCCGTGCTTCTGATTGACGGGTTTGAATTTAGCGGCTTTTCAGTCGACCTCAAACAGGAAACTGCGGTTTTATTGTCCCCGATCTGCCTGCCCCGTGTGCCGAAACCGCACGCCATTGCTAAAAGGCCACTGCATTCCCGTGGTTTGTGCGAAGTTTTTTTTTTTTTGAGGGAACCTCCCCATTTTGATATTTTGCCATTTGAAAGCCCTTTGGTCTGAGGACTCAACAACTAGGGTCCGATTCCTCATGTATTATCATGTTTGAAATGGAAGAAGCCAAAAACGCCGAAGATGATAATTTCATTCAGCGAACCATGAAAGCAGGGTGCTTAGTGTGAAGCAGATACTGAAAGGAAACTCACTTTGCATTGGCCGAACAGGTGACGTTTAAAACTAACCTAAACGGGGGAATATAGAGAATCCACCAAGTTCAAAGGCTATGCGTCTATATCCCCGTTCAACCCTTTGCCTACTTCAAGCCTAGTTGGCTGGTTTGGCTCGTAGGGGTTCCCAACAGGCAACAAGCCAGCGCACCTATGACCCTACAGCAAGAAGAACCACCTTGCATAAATGCTCCAGCAACTACCTGGAGTCTCCATGACCCTTTAAAAATGGGTCCATGACCCCATTATATTGGGTAATGACCAACCATTTTCTAAGGGTCAGCAAAAGACTCCAGGTACAGGTTTGTGGGCGGTGCACTGACTCGGTGCACTGACTCGCTCTTGGGCCCCGACAAGCGAAGCAGCCGTTCACCACGATGAAGCCGTCGATGATCGCGCAGCTCTTTCGCCCGAAGGCGGCGCTCCAGATCTCCCGGTAGGTCCTTGGGGCTGTAAAAGCGCGAGTGACTGGGCCTGCCAAGTGGCTTTGGGATGAGGAAAACATGTGCAAACAACCTGGCCAATAGAAAATAAAAATAAAAGAAAAACACAACACGACATTGACATGTTTCTTTAACAATGTGGCAACTAAGCATTGACAAAATGTTCGACGATGTTGGTCCCAGCTTAATACTCCGGGCCTAGACACAAAAGGGGCCCCTCCAACAGTGAATCCTCACAAGGTGACGCCCCTCTAATCAAATTCAACCAGGGTGTATATGGGGGGTTGATCAAGAGGTCCTTTATATACATTGGATGATTGTGTAAAACACCTAAACTTATATTTCCCACCAGGAAACGTTACCCATGGCCAGCCGGGGCCCAAACGGAATATTGATCAAGCCCCCAAAAACCTTCCCCTTCCGGGTGTTGGGAAAATGAACCCTTTGGGGATTCTCTTAACAACAGGACACCACCAGTTGGATGGAATATTGATCCACCCCCCCATCCCCCTATCCCAGTGAAAAGGAAGCGCCTTCCACCATCGGCTTCGCCGACCTCGGCTTCGGCTTTTTGGGGCCCCGGGCTCACAGCGCAGGCGCTTGCAGAGCCAGGCAATAAGCACGAAGCTGCTGCCGCTGAAGAGGCACACCTCAGCTGACTGGTGGGGTTTGCGGCTGAGTTTTGCTGGGACCTCACCGAATTTGAGTGCTTCAAAACCAAATCGGGTATTGTCACCTCAAATGGCAAGAGGTTGCTGTTCCTTTCCCCTTGAATACCAAGAAAGGGGAGTGCCTCCTCGCAAAATGGCTATGAATTTTGATGCCGAACTGATGTTATACCGAATTGTGATGTCCACCAAAGGGTCGCTCTTGAAATTCACACCGGTTTCCTTTGTCCCTTGGAAAAACCACTAATTTGAGAAACGCCCACATTGAAGAGAGCCCTATACGTTGTTCTATGTTCCAAAGGACACTACAATCTACAACAGGGAACAAGGAAAAAACATGAAAAGGACAAGAGCTTAGAACATGAGAAGGTACAAGAAAACCAGAAATCGCCTAAAACATGCCTTCTGTCAGATTCTTCCCCCCACCCCTCCCCCCCCCCACCACCCCCCACCCACCCCCCCCCCCCACCCCGCAGCCCAAGGGCCAGAAGCATGGCCAGCAGCCCGAAGCTCACGGAGCCGCTCAGCAAGGCGCTGGGCAAGGAGAAGATGCCCGCGCCCACCAAGTTCTTGGTGAGGTTCATCCTGAGCTCAGTGCCAAATTTTAAATGATTCTAGATAATGTATATATATATATGTAGATATATAGATATATATATATATCCACCATATATATATATATATATGACACTATTACTGCGGTATTATATCCGCCGACATTGCTCGGCGTGTCGGATACTTACTAGAGGATAGAGGATAACCCCCCCCCTAACCCCCCCCCGCCCGACGTCTATTACGTAGGTTTTTGGGGGGGAGGGGGGGGGGTCCCCCACGTACCGCGCGGCAATTTGATGACGTTCCACTAAACGTAGTCTTCGGGGAGCCGGTGTCGCAAAACAGGGGTCCCAGGCTCGATTCCCCCTGCCGGCTTTTTTGCTGGCTTGGGCTTCCTGCATCCTTTTGCCGAAAATCTGGAAAAAACTCAATGTTTTTGCACATACATACATGCATGAATGCATGCATGCATACATACATACATGCATGCATACATACATACATACATACATACATACATACATACATACATACATACATACATACATACATACATACATACATACATACATACATACATACATACATACATACATACATACATACATACATACATACATACATACATACATACATACATACATACATACATACATACATACATACATACATACATACATACATACATACATACATACATACATACATACATACATACATACATACATACATACATACATACATACATACATACATACATACATACATACATACATACATACATACATACACATACATACATACATACATACATACATACATACATACATACATACATACATACATACATACATACATACATACATACATACATACATACATACATACATACATACATTACATACATACATACATACATACATACATACATACATACATACATACATACATACATACATACATACATACATACATACATACATACATACATACATACATACATACATACATACATACATACATACATACATACATACATACATACATACATACATACATACATACATACATACATACATACATACATACATACATACATACATACATACATACATACATACATACATACATACATACATACATACATACATACATACATACATACATACATACATACATACATACATACATACATACATACATACATACATACATACATACATACATACATACATACATACATTACATACATACATACATACATACATACATACATACATACATACATACATACATACATACATACATACATACATACATACATACATACATACATACATACATACATACATACATACATACATACATACATACATACATACATACATACATACATACATACATACATACATACATACATACATACATACATACATACATACATACATACATACATACATACATACATACATACATACATACATACATACATACATACATACATACATACATACATACATACATACATACATACATACATACATACATACATACATACATACATACATACATACATACATACATACATACATACATACATACATACATACATACATACATACATACATACATACATACATACATACATACATACATACATACATACATACATACATACATACATACATACATACATACATACATACATACATACATACATACATACATACATACATACATACATACATACATACATACATACATACATACATACATACATACATACATACATACATACATACATACATACATACATACATACATACATACATACATACATACATACATACATACATACATACATACATACATACATACATACATACATACATACATACATACATACATACATACATACATACATACATACATACATACATACATACATACATACATACATACATACATACATACATACATACATACATACATACATACATACATACATACATACATACATACATACATACATACATACATACATACATACATACATATACATACATACATACATACATACATACATACATACATACATACATACATACATACATACATACATACATACATACATACATACATACATACATACATACATACATACATACATTACATACATACATACATACATACATACATACATACATACATACATACATACATACATACATACATACATACATACATACATACATACATACATACATACATACATACATACATACATACATACATACATACATACATACATACATACATACATACATACATACATACATACATACATACATACATACATACATACATACATACATACATACATACATACATACATACATACATACATACATACATACATACATACATACATACATACATACATACATACATACATACATACATACATACATACATACATACATACATACATACATACATACATACATACATACATACATACATACATACATACATACATACATTACATACATACATACATACATACATACATACATACATACATACATACATACATACATACATACATACATACATACATACATACATACATACATACATACATACATACATACATACATTACATTACATTACATTACATTACATACATACATACATACATACATACATACATACATACATACATACATACATACATACATACATACATACATACATACATACATACATACATACATACATACATACATACATACATACATACATACATACATACATACATACATACATACATACATACATACATACATACATACATACATACATACATACATACATACATACATACATACATACATACATACATACATACATACATACATACATACATACATACATACATACATACATACATACATACATACATACATACATACATACATACATACATACATACATACATACATACATACATACATACATACATACATACATACATACATACATACATACATACATACATACATACATACATACATACATACATACATTACATACATACATACATACATTACATTACATTACATTACATTACATTACATTACATTACATTACATTACATTACATTACATTACATTACATTACATTACATTACATTACATTACATTACATTACATTACATTACATTACATTACATTACATACATACATTACATTACATTACATTACATTACATTACATTACATACATTACATTACATACATCATACATACATACATACATTACATTACATTACATACATACATACATACATACATACATACATGCATACATACATACATACTTATGTACATGCATGCATACATACGAGAGAGGGAGATTGGGGAGAGAGAGGCTTGGGGGGATGGGGAGGATGGGAGCAGAGGGAGGGAGAGAGGACGACAGAACACACAAGGGAGACAAGGAAGAGAGGAAGAAGGAGAAAAGGGAGAGGACAATGTCGGCGGACTGAGCCGGAGGCTCTAAAGTATATATCTCACCCGTCACTTCGTTCCTTCCTGTCCATCATTCACCTATTAATATCTGGCCTCAGCCGGAAGCGGGTGAAGGATGGTTAGTGAGTGTACGTTAATGCCGTGAACGCTGTGGAAGGAAGAAGTGAACTGACATGAAGTGAATGGTGGGGCAAGATATAGAAAGATGTCTATTCCTACGTGATATCCTGTCTCTCAGAATCTATTAGTTGGTGAAATACCAGGATATAATCTATATATGCAGATACAATGTCCAATGTATGACATAATACATGTATGACTATGTATATATATGTGGATGTGTCTCTTCTTGGGGAAAACACACATATGAGAGGCATGGGGGAGATATGTATGTGTATGGGTCATCTTGACTGCCTGTGTCTATGGAACCCCCTTGGTTTAAAGAGGTTACCAAAAGGAAAACCACAAACCAATAATTACATACTTGCTTGGTGAGATGCATGTTGGCTTCCTTTTAAAGACAACCACACCGAATACTATATATATATACATTATTTGGTGGCGTTCATCCTTGACGGCGGTCCATATGCTCAATCTACTCAGGTGGGTTGTAACGCTGCCCCTTCCACCACCATACTCATCTGGTCAGCGGGTAGGATGTGTGGCCAGGTTCATTTCATGGCGGCCACGGGGTTCCTTCCATTTGCCGAAGCCCCCTGAAAAAACAAACAAAACTATGTCCAGTGTTGATGGATTCCTTTTAAAACCAACAGGGAAAATAACACAGGTTCATTTCAGCTAAATGGAAGTTTCACAGATGACAACTGTGATTCTCCCATCACGAGGTAAGCTGAATAGCCCCTTTGGATCAATATTCAGGCGAACTCTGCAGTATTTCACTGGGGCCAGTCAAATACATCAGAAAGAGAGCCATGACAATTAAATGCCCTAGTCGCCCCCACTAGGTGCTAATAGCGACCAGCGAGGCCCGTTAGGTCGTTTTGGAGGACATTTTGGAGGCGGTCCTGGGTTTGGGGGCCCTGACAACGTAGAAAATATGTTCAGAATCAATCATCAAGTGCTTACCTGTGGTCATCAAGTACTGCATATTCCAAGGAGCCAGGCAGCAGCGACTGGTGGCACTCGTTTCCCCACCTGGCAATCTCGAGTCAGGGTCACGTTCACAGGGTCAGACCATGGATGAACTGGTAGCAACTGGCAATGGTTCCATGTGGTTTTGCCAGGACATCTTAAGGTTATAACCCACTCACTAAGTATCACACATTCCAGCACCCCGCCGCTGGAAGGGCTAGCTGAACAGATCAACCACCATTTCCACACTTGCTGCAAAAGCAGCACAATCATTCGAAAGCCTGAAGTAAGGGATCCCCCCAAAGTATTAAAGGCCCTACATAGCAAGCTTCTTACCCCATTCCCCCCCCGCCCCGGAAACGGGGAAATCGCCATCAGACACGTCAACGACGGCTCGACTCGCGGCTCGCAGCTCGCGGCTCGCATGCCTCGCCTGCGGGGTTGCCTCGGTGTCCGCATCTGAGGCCTGAGATGCGGCATCCCAAGGTTCAGTGCTCCAAAGATATCATACCAACATTTTCTGAGGGGGGCGGGGATAATATGCCAGAAATGTGGCCGGACAACCAAGTCCACAAGAACATTCCCAGGCGATATTCCGTGAATAAGCCATGTCTGGGAAAGTCCAGGTAACCTCGGCGATTGGGGACCTCAAGCTCCCAGGTTCCTATGGTTGTTCGATCCGTTTGGGTTCCATGTTCATTTGCAGGGGAGCCTCCGAGTCTCCATCACCCTCGGTCCGAGCGATTTCTTGATCCCGAGCCCTCTTTTGTCTCTGTGGCACTTTGAAGGGACATCGTCCTGTTGTCTTCTAAGGCGGTGTCCTGCATCCCGAACCTTGGACCACTTCTGGGGTACACCCACACAGCACCTTCAGACTCTGCTTCATATTTATTCTACCCTGATACACAACCCAGAGGGTCCAAGTACCTCCTAAGGATGGCTTCTGGGAGGTAAAAAGGGTCCTTAGAAGGTACTTGAACCCTCTGGGTAATACACTTGGAGGAGACCCCAGATGGAAGTGAACGAAACCCTGCGCCGGCCTCTAGCTCAAACTCCGGCGCTGAGGACGCTTTCGCTTCCAGCGCCTGTCGCGAGTCGAATCGCCCATGATCTTTGGGCGGCAAAAACACGCTTTGGACAAATTCGACCCGTGACGCTACAGGGAACATGCCATGTGGGTGTGTCAAAAACCAGGAGTTGGACCGCAAAGTATTGGGCTTAAATGTGTTCATATCAAACAAAAAGGGAAGGGGGGGGCCTGCTTCTTTCGGGGGGGGGGGGACGCCCGTGCCTAGGGTGCCACTTGCTCCTCAAGGACCCCCTTCACTTTTCAAGAAACAGTGGGGGTGAAAAAAAGGAAAACCTATCCCCGAAGGCATGGCCCTTGCCAAAGTTTCGGGGGTCCCATAAGACTCCAGGTCCGTGGTGCATCCGTCTTCACGGGTCTACGGGTCGAGCGCCATGGTGCTGTCACGTCCTGCGATGTCCTTGGAAGGATTGGCTTCAGTTTGTAGGTCTTGGGATCCACAGGTCGTCCAGGTCCATCCCTGCCACGCCTTCCCCATCGCCCGGGGGCGCTTCAACCTTGGAATGATGCTGAGGAGAATTCGGAGCAAGATGCAACCAAGGCCGGATTGCCACGGATAGGGTCAGAGTGCCTTCTGAAGATGTGCTTGAACCATGTGGTGGAAGAACCCCGTTTTGCCCCTGAAACGCATGCTGAAGTACTTGGACCCTCCACGTTTGGTAGTTGAATTGTTCAATGGGCAAACCCCTCAAGGAGACAGGAAAAACAGGACACCCCGCCCCCTTTTCAATGTCTGGTGAGAAGGTCGCGTGAGACAAACACGTGTCATTCCCGAAACGTTTCAAAGGTCGCGGAGAAACACGGCTATCCGATGTGAAAATTAGATTGAACAATTAGTAGAGAACCCCCTCAAAAGCGGCCGGTGGACATGAATCCCTCCCAAATGATGTTCATTAGTGGCACTAAAGGGTTGATTAAACTTCGCACTCACATGAACATGTTTGTACCCAACTTGATAGCTAGCCTTGCTGGTGCCCAATGAGACTACGAAGCCTATCTGGGCCGAGGGTTGAAAACGTGTCGTCATATCCTAACCTGACGGGCCAAAGTGTCAACCTTTGGGGTGATGCTAAGAGCTTCTCCCAAAGTTGTTCGTTTGTGAACCGAACAGGTTTACTTTAAGTGGCGGCATCATTTTTACCCGCAGCCACACACAGGACATGTCTCAGCTGCCTATAGCTTGTGAGGGCCTGGCAAGAAAGCTTCTCGAGCGATGCAAAGTCACCACAAAACACAGCTTAGGTCCGGAGAAGCCGCGCAGAGTTGTTCCCTAAGAACCAAACTTGGCGGATGAAACAACGCTTGAGAATCAGCTTCCCAGATTGGCTCAACTTCTTGCAGAAACCCGGGAACCAACCCTGCAGGGCATTGGGAAAGACTCTTGCTCTACCAGGATGTGCAATGTGAGAAGCACTTTTTTCGGAACAACCAACAAGCCGCCGCAACAGCTGGCAAAAAACAACAACAACCCTCGCTTGGGGGGTCTAACAACAACCCTCGCTTGGGGGGTCTGCGCGTGTGTGCCTTTCGAGCGTCTGCTGTGATGTGAAGGCGGGGCCATAACTTTCTGAATACTCGAATTCCGTGAAGTTGAGCATTGCACCCACTCTTCCAAAGACCTTGGCGTTGCGAATTGCATTTCAAAAGCACTAGATATCTCCAATCGCCCATTGTTTGGCCTGCTTTCCAAGGGACAAAATAAACGAGTGGCAACGTTGGCCTGGCACCTGTTCCAGAATGACAGGCAGTTGACGGAACAAGACCTCCAGCACCTGGCTGGGTTGAACTACTCGCTGATGCTCAGAGGCGAATGAGAATGGAATGACCCAGAAAAACAACCATCCAACTGGTGGCTTCCTTTAAGGGCACCCCTGGTTCATTGCCTCATTCCCTACTTATCGCACCAGCAAGATTACTGGGGGTTAAGTGGAGGTCAACTCAGGTCCACCAACCACTTGACTCCCGCACCATCTGTTTAAACCAGGCTCACGTTCGACGCGCCCGACAAACTCGAGCCGCGCCGAGCGACCACTCGGCCACGGCTCTTGGCGTCAGGTTGTTTTTGGGCTGCGAGCCAAGGAGGCAGGGGCGCGCTGAAGGAACCGCCGGACCCACGTGGCGCTTAGCTGCAGAAAAATCACGGTGGATGCTCCGAATTCACAGGGCTTCTCTTGTTGCCTTGCACCCGTGCGTGTGATGTGGCAATGAGTTCCCTTTACACTGCGGGTGCCAGCCTACCAAGTATAGGGGTAAACAAAAGGACAGCTGGCAAAAAAAGGGTACATCGCTGATATATGTGGTGCACGCAACGGTGGAACGTTTCCCTTGAGCTGCAACTCCCCGAGTCTGGTTTCTATGCATGGGCAAACTTGCTAATTTCATACGAGACATAACTGGAACATTGGCTGGGCTCACTGGTTTTGTGGGAAATTTGGGTAAGCCTCAGATGTTCTCCCGAAACAAACAATAGAGTCCTCATACTATGGTCCATTGGTCTAGCTGCCACCGTTGAGCAATGATACGCAATGGACCCCCAACTTGACGAAAAAACCCGTGGTAGAACCTTTTCGTGGCCATCTGGGGTACAAATACAAAGAACATCGCCTTTGAGATTCTGATTCGTATTTTCCCTAGCGGAGAATCCCAGTATTTACTGCATCTGGATCCAATTTTCCCTAGAGGAGACCCCCAATATAAATGGGGTTGATCAAAAGGTCCTTTACATGGGATGACCAGTGCAGAAAGCCGCTAAAAAGATAATGCTTCCCACAAAATGGGACAAAGTTACCCCTGGTCAATTTGGGGCCGAACGGAATATTGGTCAACCCCCAAAAACCGAATGGCTTCACCCAAGGCCGAATCCAACCGCCCCTCACCGCTCAACGTTCCGCGCCGTTCCCACGAAGTGCGCCAGCGCGCCCGCGGGGTGCTTGGACCTGAGAGAGACTGCGGGCCCCGCATCGATCGGAAGTCAGGAGGCCGCTGGGATTTCCCTTTGGTTCTAGTTAGTTTGTGTAAGCATGACTTACCAATAAACAGTTTAAACACCCATCTATCTTAAAAACCGACAGATTCCCCCTGGTTTCAAATGGTTCTACACTCCCAGAAGGCCCCTGTAAATGGAACCAAGTCTTCCAAAGGGGTCCTGGTGGCTTCCATGTTAGTCTGGGGGAGGGTACTTGTGGGTGTGTCATGTTTTTGTTCGCGGCTCAATGGGTTTTGAAGTTGCGTGTGTGTCTTCCCTTCGAGGCAGGCTCAGTACCCCCTGGTTTGCAGGGCAACCGGAAGAAAGACCAGCCATTTTTGGGGTCCCGCAAAAGTCTGACAAGGTGTTTCCTTTCTGAGTATCCGTGTTTGGTTTTCGTTTGGGTATATAAGTGAAACAAACATAGACGATTTAGAACCCCCCCAAAAGAAAAAAAGGTCTCCTTTTTTACCCGCCAAGGGGAAATCATGGGACATGTAGGAATGACAAGAAGTTGCTTTCCGACCCCCTCACTGTACATTGATTGAGACATGGGGGATGATTGTGAGTGTTGGAATTTTGGGATCCCTGGACAATTGAGTTATAATCCACATAGGATACTCAGTTGGAGTGTAGTGGGAAAGGACGGTCCCCAGAATGGACACAACCTGCTTAGAGCACATGGCTTCTGGGCAAACTCCTTTGATGGCGTGCCCACAGCTTTCCATATGGGCGGCTCGTCTTTGTTTGGAGCCTGCTGTTTTTGTGGTGTAAAGGGAAAGGGACACCAAAAGGAAAAATGATGCCCTTGTTGTTTGCTTTTTATTGGGCTCCGATTCCTGACAAGAGGATGGAGATTGCTTGTGAAAATCTGGTTGAGTCGCGATTGTGTTGGTCTGTCTGTCTGTGTGTCTGTCTCTCTGTCGCTGTCTCTGTCTGGGGGAATCCCGGCCCTGGTTCTGTGCTCCTGACCGTCACCATGCTTTAGGGGCCTTTGAATCTCAAAGGGGCCTGAAAAGGTGGCGCGCTCTTTGATTGGATGAGGTACATCTTCCTTTTTGTAAAAAACAATAAGCCCAAGTGGTAGCCCGGGAACCTGCTCCGAAACCCTGCCTAGCTTTCAGCTGTTGGAGCAACAACCACTTTGCAAGATGCCCAAACCCCGGTCTGAAGCCGCCGGCGGACGGGTGCTCTTCACGCCAGTCGCCTCGCAGAAGCTAAGCCTCAGCGAAGAAACGCGCGAGGTGCCGGTGGATTTATAGTCTTTCACGTAGGTGTATACCTGGATACTCCCAAGGTATACCTTCCAAGAGTTGTCCGAAAGATAAGTACAACACATGCCGATTTCTCATGTTTTCCCCTGGATACCTATCATGGTAACGAAGCACTTGGCAAGATTCCAGGCTTGAGTCACAGTTTGGGAAGATCATTTTAGTGGCAAACACAAAGTTTGGGTGTGTTTGCCAATCCGCGACGTGAACATGTCAACATGGTTCTCAAAATTATTTGGGGAAGATTCCCTTCACGCCACCATTCCGATTTTTTGGAGGATGACTTTAGTGTGTGTGTGTGTGTTTCTTGAGGGCATGTTTCCAGAAAACCACAAGTCAAAGAAACCCCCAACTTGTTGGTCGCCTAGAGGCAAAACCAGCTGATTACCTGCTATTGTGGCTTGCCTGGAAGCACTGGGCAGTGAGCAGCTCCTTATGAGCAAGTGGCCACTTCTGCTTGAAGCCGCTGGATCGACGCTGACCCGCCTCGCTCGGAGACGCTCGTTCAAATCGTGTCTCAAGGGAAGAAACATGTTCTTCACGGGTAAAAAGCAGCTGCGCACAAACCAAAGACTCCTCAATAGATATTTGACCTTTCGAGTTAAGGTGACAATACATTATTGAATGGAGCGTGCAAACATGGGGCGGTTTATGAAAAAACCCTGGCTTCATGCTCGCGCACAGGATTAGCTTGGTCCAACGAAGGGGTTCCTGACTTTGGCGTGGAAATGAGATTCCCGTGCAGCCTGTCCGTAAAGGGCTTGTGCAACTGGAGTCGCGCAACTGGACCAAGCTGGTCGTATCCGGATATGCCGGTCGCTTCAAACGCTGCCTCAACTCATCTTGATCATAGCACGAATACTCGGCAAACCGTTTTTGCTGCCTCAACTAGAACCCAAAGGGGTTTAGTGGGGTGTTGCTTTGAGACAAAATCCCAGATCAGAGTTGGAGACAACCCACTTGGAGACAAACAGCTGGTAAAGAAGTCGAAACTCAAGTGCTCCAAGCGTCCCGACCCATCCCGGCCTTGATAAGATCCACCAACTCCTTGACTGGCAGCATGCCGGCCTGCATCGCCTCGGGAAGCCCAAGGGAAACACATGAGACTGCTTGGAATGTCAATCTATACATATTGTAGACATATACCAAAAACATATATACATATATACATATTGCATGTGAATATATATATATGTATATAATGTATATATGCATATATAAGACATACTTCTAGACAAATGCATATAAGTATATACATGCGCATATAATACAAACGCAGGTGCAATGCGTGTATATATATATATATATATATATGATAGGTATACATGTATACATATATATATATATGCATGCATGAATATATATATATATATACATATTGCTCTCTCTCTCTCTCTCTCCCTCTCTCGCTCTTTTCATATATATATATATATATATATATTTCTATATAATTGCCTGAGCATCACCCCCTACATGATTGAAACACGTGGGGGCCTTGTCCACAGCGGTGGACATCCTTCTGGGGCTGTTTGTCAACATGTGGCTGTGGTTGTCAAAACCAATGGGATTCTATTTTGGGGTAGGTGCACCACCCATTTTAGTCTATTTCAGTGGGGATTGGGATGTTCACTCGGGGTACGGGCTTTTGACCCATGGCAATGTGGGGGCCAACCAGTTGGGTGCACTCCCGTCAGATTCCGTTTAAACACCATCCCAAAAGGGTTCCCTCTTCTTTTGAGACAGACCCATATGTGCATGAACCGCGCGCGAAACGGTCTGCTGCCATGTTGGTGGACCACAAGACACCCTTGGTCAAAACCGTGTATGTGCCGACCAAGAAGCCAGAGGCCCTTAAGCATCTTTAGCATTTTCGGCAGTGTTCTAGCGCTCCCAGAAGCTTGAGTGACGGAGTCAAAATCAGTTCCCAGAACATCCCTCATCTCCCAGCAACTTGCCACGCAAATTCATGACTTTACAAGAATGCTGCAATCTTCTGGAGCCAAGGGTGAGGCACCAGGTCAACAGAAGCCAGGGGTTGTGGCCCCCACTAGTGGATACAAGACGATCGAACAAAATGAATTGTTTTTCAACTTGGTTACTAAGAAAAACAGTCACATCCTAGCCACAACGTAGATTAAGCGTCCGAGCCATGCCGAGTGGTTCCATGGGTTTTATGCGCAGTACTAATTCAAAGCGTACCAATGATGCCCATCGCATCCTTGTGACTAGAGGTGACTGTTGCAGGCCACTCCCAAATTAGGACCGTTCAAGGTCAAGAGCTATTGCTCTGCAACAGCAATAAAATGTCCAGCTTTCCCCAGTTGCAAAAAAAGGGAGCCCTTCCTACTCCCTGAAAGTCAGTGGTAGTGAGCCCTCCAGCAAAGAAGGGAGGCATGGGCCACTAAAACGAACCTGGCAACCTGGAGCTCAGGGTGCGGGCCAGCTGGTGTGGCTCAGGCCGGGCCTCGCTGCAGGCGTCAGAGGGACCCCTTCCTCTTTGGTCGACACGCCCCCACCCCGATTTTTGGACCCATAAAACCTCAACCCCCCCGATTTTTGGGCCAAACCAGAGGTGAAGCGGAAAAGCCGCTAGCTGGACAACAGGAATTTCCACAGCTTTTCACGAGGTTCGGGGGTGCACTGCCTCCCGAAGCAATCGGAAAGTGGGATTCGCGCTCACTTCTTGGAAGCGTTTGGAGACTCGTTGTTTGTTCTTTTGGGCGGGGACCCCAAAAAGAACACTTTCCTTTTGGCTTCCCTTTACAACCAAATACAGACAAACACACACCCTAGTGTCACCTGAAATAGCCCTAGGCTTGCACTAACGGCCTGGGTTTCCACGATGCCAGAAAGCTGAACTTGCAAATGGAGAGGTCATTT